AAATATAAGACCAATTGCCACTTGTTTAAATACCTGCCTAACTAATTAAAAATTTGCATGAAGATCATACTGAGGTAGACTATATTGCCGGTAAAGAAAATGGCACTGGAATGAACATTTTCGGCTTATTAGCCGTCGTCAGAAAGTCATACCCAGACCCCAAGTGGTGAACCACCTGAGCCTCGAACCCGAGACCGATTAAGCCGAAGTCGGACTCTCTAATTGTTGAGGCACGAGCTCCCAGTCCAGCCGGTTTTAGATCGGGGGATATTGCCGCTTAGTAATGAACGTCCACTGATCAGTACCGGAACTCTCACCCTTTGCCGGCAATGCAAGCTGCCTAGACTATTGGGCACTGTGCGGCTACTGGCGGCGCTCAACAATGAGCCTCACTGTACAGCGGGAGGAGTGAGTTTCGTTAGCGATCGGTGAACGTCCATCAGCGAGTGTGGGAATTGTTGTCACTTCGAAGGCATCATCAAGTACCACTAACTAATGGCTGCCGGGCCAAGCTGGAGTAGCATTAATTTCTGGGTAATGTTACTTCCGATATCTAACAACGATAGCGAGTGAGTTCCTCAACGATTTGGCGTTCCAAAACGGAACAGAATCACTCACGTAGGAAAGATCGGGCGCAGCAACAACAACCCTGACGTCAGCGAGTATAATGGTGCCGCAATTATCAAGCCTGCATCCGATGCTGACAAGTAAATTGTGGCAATTAATGAGCAATTACCGCACCAATTAAGACCTCAAGCGGTGGCTGCGGGAACTGGCAATTATATTACGCATGTGGATGATCGCTACGAACTATAAATACCATGCCACCTGTGCATGTATCACCCATACTCGCGCATGTCTCCGACTTTCTTACGATTATCTATAATTACGGAGTCTCGACAGAATCCGAAACGTGCGGAAAATAATATTCTTGTTCCAGTGATCGCATCTTCTTCCTCTTATGAACTGCTTCCTGGAACTAGCATATACTCCTATACTGGCAGTGTCATGATCTCTAGACCCAAACCGGCAAGACAAAGAACTCGTGGCTCAATGGTTAGAGCGTCGGATAAACG